ACAAAATGGTTACAAGGTTGGTCCCTGGCTGTGATGAAAGAGGTCTCTGTGATGTATGCATCTTTATTGTTTGAGTCTGTCTTGGGGCATGGTATACTGCTCCTGATGCCATTTCTGCTCCTTGCAATGATTTTAACTTCCTACAATGTCTTAAGTATAATAAGGTGAATTCTGCTGTTTCAAAATCTGCCTGTCAAAAATTTGCTGGACATCTATGTATCTCAATGAGGAACTCTTTGGTTTTGGATTTTTTTATTCAGCTGTATCCACAGAGACAAAACAAACAATGGTAAAGACACTAAATGAGACAGAAGACTGAATATCCAACTAAATATCAAGAAATCTGAGGACATGTCAGTTGAGGATCTCATCAGACTTCTTCAGGTGCTTCAAAATTTCATCTGGATTATGACCCTGAGTCAGGGGAATTCTGAGAGGACTGTGAACAGTTCAACACTTGAATGTGGTAAATGACAATGATGAAAGGGGTGTGCCAGTATTAAGGAGTATGATGGCATCATAATTAAGAAAGAAGAACAAAAACAATTCCTCCTTCAAGCTGTGTAGGATCATAGAATATTCTTTCCTAATAGCAAGAAGGAATCAATAATAACGCAAAAGTGACTAACCACATTTAAATAAGCCATTTATAAAATATAACAAATGTTTTTATATCACATAGTATAGTCCACTGCAGTCTAGAACTTAAACTTCATTGAGCAACCTCCATTTATGACCAAAAATGAATGAAGTTTGACATTTAATGTTTATTTGTACATTGAAAAAAGATAAGGAGTGAGAGCTTTAGAATTTTTAACATGAAATTTTACCTGCAGATAAGAACCACCTAAGTGATCAGTATATGATTTTATATGTTTTGTTTTCTAATTTCATAACATTTGATAGGTTTTACCCTGTGATCATGTGTTATTATATATAAATTTCTACTGTGTTGTATGTATTTAGATATTAATATTTGAATCATTATTTCTGGAAGAGTGTTACAATATTACTTACATGTTATTATGGGTAGATATTTAACTCTAGTTTTTCCTTCACTTGAACACTGATTAAGTAGTTAATGTTATAGGAGGAAATTCAGTTAATGGAAGTGGACCTTCTGGGGATACTACTGGAACTGTCCTAAAAGCCTACTTCCCCCAGTCAATTTATCTACGATTTGATACAGCTAACATTGATGGTATAAGGAAGAAATTGGTAGAGTTTAATGAGAAAATTCCCTTAAGCCAACAGGTAACAGCTAGTGAGATAGTAAGTGTACTTAACCTTATTGATTCAGAAGAAGATCCTACAGATCAACAAATGGCATCATTGGAGAAAATTATTCACTGGCCAAAAGGTAGGTGAAGATTGAAGTAGTAATAACAAAAGTCTGAATTCAGGAACACAGTAGATTTATGAGGCTTTATAATACTCATCTATATGCAATAGCCTAACATGTTATAGGAAGCCATACAGTAAGATTTTCAAGTGAGAAATGACAAATATATATACTACTTCAGATGATGAATGAATAATGTTTTATTTTTGTGTTTAAGTTGGCGTGATTGTTTTTTTTATTAATAAAAAAGTATCAACTTTGAAGAAGGCTTAGTTTTTAAACTTCATTATATTTGTTAATTCCAATTACTCATCTCAAAAATAATGTTGAGATCAAGATTGGTTCAAGATGTTCTTAACAATGTGCCTTTTTCTTTGTTTTATTCCCCATTAATAAGCTTTTAAAAATGTGTATACTGTACCAGGCTTACAAATTAAAAACATTTGCTAGCATTTGTGATCACAACATGACAACTGGTACCAAGAGGAAGCAATATTAGTATTTGTTTTTAACTTATATGCTAACAAGTTGAGGCACTCGTTCTACATCCAGGGTTATAAGGATTGAATATAGGACTTGAATTAATAGATTAAATCAAGAAATTATATTTATATGCAGATTTGTTTCACCAATAATTTACAACTTCTTTATTTTTCATATACTGCATTACACATTACAGAAATGGCGTTACAGTTAGTTTACTTTTACTAATCTCCCTCTTCAGCCTCAGTGTTTGTTGATACTCTGAGTGTTACTTGATAGACCACATAAGAAATTCTTCCTCTTTCCTGAGATTTCTTGGTGATCCTACTCTTGAACACCCAATGTAGAACTGACTATGTGAAAAGTGGAGGTTTTCAGATGAAGCCTTGCCATTTTTCCTGGCAAAAATATGAATGTTTGACATTTTCAATGAAATAACCCAAAATAAAAAATTTTAGGAATAAAAATTGGTCCAAGGCTGTTGAGACATGGGCTAAACAAACATATTGTTATTGTGGGCATGGCTCAGGGAGGGTAGAGCCAGGTAATAACTACCCTGTGGTCGAATGTATCATTGTACCAAATTTCTTACTTTTATATAGATGTCAATTATTAGGCTTACATCTAGTTTTTACCTTTATATTCTGCCCAAAATAATATTTTAAACATTGTAGATGCTGAAAATTATATTTTTTTGTGTTTGGGTGGTGTTGAAATAAATATTTTAATATGCACTGTCATTAATTTTGATTAACCCTTTCGAGATGGGTCATAGGTGAAAGGCTATGTCATCTCGTTTGTTACTTGCATTCAAAATTTTATTAAACTACTATTTCATGAATTTATGTCAATAAGTTTGGTATCAAACTGTAGATTATAATTCAAATCTTAGTACTGTATGTTACTCAATTTTTTAGTTTAAAAGCAAATATTAAAAAAACAGATAAACATCAATTTTTGTGTGTCATGTGGTATGCTGAATACAGCATTGGTTCAAATTAGATGTTTGTGAAGTCAAAATACCAAGTCTATAGTTTCGAATGAATTAGAAACTCAAATTACCGATATTGACAAGTTACAATATAAAATAAGAGCCTCTTATCTTTTCAATGTGCTAAGATATTGCCTATGTAATAAATCAAACACAGTGGCACCCTGCACACCTCTTTCCATTTTTGGGAGTGCTCCCTTATATACACTTACTTTTATATATGACATGAATAACTGATTGGAAGGTCAGAATGTCCCTCTAGTGGCTCTCTCAGCCATTTTAACGGACTTGCCGCCATTTCTTTCTTTTGAACCAATATTTCAACGAGGTAGTGTGTGTCTATAGTCTGCTCGATGTTTCATATTTTTTTAGACTAAAATACATCTTAGTTACTAAGCTTTATAAATTATAGTGGAATTCTATGGTATTAATGTAGCAATGTATAATTTTTGTTATTCAAATGTATATATATATATATAACCTAAAAAAATATATTTTGTTTCATATCCTTCATATACAAAATTTTTAAAGGCTTAGCAACCTACATAAAGCAGTAACTGAGTATAAAACGTTGTAACTAGAAGAGATAACTGTTTGCTTTACTTCTTTATTCACTGTTCTCTTTTTTAGGAAAAATGTTTTAAGAACTTATTTCAAAATAGCAATAAACTATATACATATCTAATAATTGAAATGTGACTGCATTTTACAAAATATTAGTCTACTAAAACAAAGCCAAGACAAGTTACTTTGCACAGACCAAAGGTCAATTTTATGTTATTTGATACGGTAACGTGAGTGCATGTCATTGTAACTTCTGTACTGTTAGCCAGGCATGGCTGAAAGATAAATATATATAAATGTATAATGTTATGAGATTTAAGCTATTTAGTCTAAACATTATGTTTTCTGTTCATTCTAGAATGAAAAGGCACAATTTATATTTATTTCCTAATTTTTTAAGGTGGTTGTGAGACCGGTCAAATCTACCAAACCCATACAGAGATTATTACTGAAAATAGTAGATAAAATATAAAGTTTTTCTTGAGAAACATTTGATAACCATCTCGACATTATAAAGATTTTGTATGTGAAATTTCAAAAGTTCTGCTGCATAAAAGTATTTTTAATCATAAAATGAATATTTCTTTGCATGAGAGATAGGCAACATGAGAATAACACTGCTTTATAAACCTTAAGACTTAATAAAAAATATTTTTATTTTGCATATGAATGCAATAAATTTATTTGGTTGAGGCTAAGCACAAAACTACACAATGAAATATTTGAGCTGCACCCACCATGGGTATCAAAATCCAGTTTTTAGCCTTCAGACTTACCACTGAGCACTGGGGAGCTCTAAACATAAAAAATTGTTAGGAATAAGTAACATTTTATTTTACAAAATTGTATGTCATTTAACTCATTTCAGCAAGGGCTCGGCCCCTAGGACCGACCTCGTAACCATTTTGTGCTTGTTATAGTTTTCATGCTATAACTTTGAAATTAGTAAGCGAATGTTAATAAAATTTGGCAGATTATCAGTAAACATTACCAGTTTTGAGATCATATACTCAGTTTTTATCAAAATTGCTTAATTTGTTAAAGTTATGATTCTCCAAAAAATGTCAAAGTTAGACCCACTGACATCTTTCTTATAATTTGAAGCTAACAAAGCCTAGGAAGTTATATGTTTTAGTTACAAAAAAGGCATTTAGTGTACTTTTTACTGATGTGCATAGAAAATTTCTGTCTTAAGCTTCAGTGTTCCCATGTGGGAACATATTAATTGGATGGACATACAAATTTATGAACGATATTTGAGTAAAAATATAAAAAATATGTAAAAATAAGAGTGGTTGCTGAAAGGGAGCCATGAGCAGTAGGAAAAAAATGTAATTAATTTTAGGCCTAAACCTATTTATTTTTCTTTGAAAAGTAGGCTGTTTGATTAATGTTACAAACAAAACATGAAAACGTAATGTAAACTGATGGAAACATTACAATTTCCATAATTAAATGTCTTATGTAGTTGGATTAAATAAGAGTAACACTAATTTGATACTAAAATACAATGATTCTTCACAGTAAATGAAAAGGAGTTCAGTTAAGTGTACTGTTTTGTGTACTTGGAATTGTAAAAAGTCATTCTTTCAAGCTATGCAAAATGATAAATGCCACACAGATATACATGCTCAGTATGTTTATGACAGTATGTTTCAAATTCTTGCATCATACTTTTGTTTCAGATATTGACCATGTGGAGGAAAGAGTTTGTAACTTTATGGTACTTGATAAACTTCTATATGGGCTTGTTCATTTTGACCAACTTTCCAACTACCACGTAACCATGAGGCTGTACTAAATGCATTTTCCTAAAATTTGGCAAGCTTTTGGTAAACATAACTAGTCTTTTTTTGCAAAAAAACAAAACAAACAAATTTCTAAATTAAGTATTTTTGCAACAGATTCATCTGTGAATATATGGAGTCACAGTCTCACCTAGACTGATTAGTCTGTGTGAAAGATGATTTTTGATGTTAACGTTAAAAATACTTTTTTTTCATATCATTTGTATGACCTCTAGAGCCTTCTAAATGAATATCAAGTTTTTTTCAGTAAAACTTTATAGTTTATCTTATATTTTCTTTACACTATACAAACTCAGTCCTTTTTTTAGACCTTGTAACCAACACAAAAAATGAAATAAATATAATTTTTTTTCGTTTCCGAAACTGCAGATTGTAACAGAAACAGCTTCAGGCTTGTACCAATATACACCTGTTTTTAATTTTATAGTTGTGTGAATTGTGTCTGACCAATAAACATGTGTAACAAAAGTTGTATACACATAATGAGCAAATAGCTGAAATTACAATAAAACAAAATACTGAATTATATAATACACTTTCAGCTCGTGTGCTTATCCCACTGATAACTTTTTTTTATCTAAACTAACAAGTTTCTAATTTTTACATTTTACTACTTGTGGGTCTTGTTAATTTTTTTTTTTTTTGCAATCAGTCTTGATAAAAGTTTTTCATAAATTGTGGTAATTATTGTTTAATTGAAATATTCAATTAAGAATACAATGCTCTATAACTATTATAATTTCACTGGCTTTCTAACTAAGCTATAAGTGCATTAAAATATTTCCCTTACTTTGTCAAGGTGACTCCACAACAGTAACTTTGAATCTGTAGGCCAAATAATTCAAAAGTTGTCATCACACGAAGCTAGCCTGTTATGTACTAGACAACTGTCTGGATGAGAATATGTTATTTCTTAAGTGCTAGGGATTTCATAAATGTTTGTAATTAATTTTCCAGGGAAGTCTATATTTGCCACCGAGTTACATTTTTTTTTCTCACCAGACAGGCATTCTAAATTTTGTATAATTTTTTGTGCTTTGACCTAACTTTGCAGTAAATTTAATGTATGTTTTTGAGAATATAAAAATAGTGTAAATGAGGCAATGAAATGTTCAACATGCAAGACAGGTGAAATTAGTTCTTTTAAGCAACTAAGCTGAAAACAAGGTTAATAGAAGGTACATTACTTTAGTGAAAGGGTGTGATTTTAGGCCAATTACAGCATTGTTTTCTCTCTATTTATCAGGGTTTAAAACATCTCATGATTCCAGTTAATTACAACATAATGCTCCTTGGCAAAAATAGCATGAGAATTCATGTTTTGTGCTGTCATTTGCTGAAGGGAGCATATTGATTTCAATATTCATGTTGTACATAAGACTAGTCCTGCAGTTAAAAAATGTTAATATTAACTTTGTGCTGAATTATACCAAATGAAACAAAATCTAAAAAGAATGCAATAACAATGTTGAAAGATAAACTGAAGTAACTAAGCAACAATTAAAAGTATCCAGTGTAAGTGCTCACTGTCATTTATAGAATATATTGTACTGTGTAACTAATGTTGAATTGATTTTTGTATTCTTCCAATAAAACAAACTTTCACATATTTAAATCATTTACTTAGTATATGCATTTCATATCATCTAAAAAAAATTAGGTTGCAAAGTGAATTTTTATAGTTACACAGATTGAAAATGTTGAATCATAATGTAGTCTGTTGTTATAAATTAAGTATATTAACAGTTTTCTTCTGTGTGGAATATGTATTACATTTTTACTTTACTTTCAGAATACGTATTTCCAGCACTAGATATCCTTCGCTTAGCTGTCAGGAATTTTCCTGTGAATCAGCGTGTTTCAGAAACAGCTGGAGTTCAAATGTGCAAACACTTGCTCAACTTTGTACAAGATAATGAACCTGCTCCAAACCAATTTCTAGCCCTTCGTACTCTGTGCAACCTTTTTTGCCACAAGCCAGGAGAAAATATTACCTTGAACCAACGAGATCGTATTTTGACTGAGATTTTGAGCTCTGTAGATAGTGGGAACAAAAATATCCAAATAGCTCGTGCAACCCTTCTTCTCAATTATTCTGTTGCATTCCACAAACAGCATGACTTACAGGCAAAATGCCAGTGTTTGTCTGGAGCAGCTGTTCTACTACCGACCTTTCCTGATAATGAGGCACGGTTTCGACTTTTGGTAACTATAGGAACTCTTATTTGGGGAGACTCGGATGTTATTGAATATGCTAAATCATTAGATTTGCTTTCTCTTATAGAAAAATTTAAAAAAATCAAAGAACCAGAGAAGATAGAAAACTGTGCAGAAACTTTGATTGCAGTTTTAAAATGAAAAATTATTACTTTAAACATTTTTGACATATGGTATTACATGTATGTTTCATTTAGCCTTCATTGGTGTGATAGTTGTAAAAATAAGTACTTTTAATTTAATTTTATCTGAATATTTTTTCATGTCTCTTAAGTTAGAAATGAAGGGACCCCCCCCCCCCCCTCCAGCTAAGCAATTATTTTATCCTTTCCAGACAGGAAGTGCAACACTTATATCCCTAGATTTCTTTCTTCTTATAATAGCTATAATTAGTTCAACTTGCATTAAACATAGAACAAGCTTCCCAAATATTACCTAGTTTTGGCTTTAAAAAATTTATTTTTGAGGGATACTTTTAAAAAAAACAACATTAAAAATAATTATTTCCTTTTACTTTTTTTAATGGTAATCATAGAGTACAATTATATATATAATCAGTTTTAACTCAGTCGACATTCATTCACATTTTTATTTTGCTAATAGCAATTGTCATCATTCTGGCTATACTTTTAAAAAAACTACCAGATTTATTGGTGCCCTTTCAGACTGATAGCAATATTTTTCCTAACAGTATTCTTGATCAAAATAAAAAAACTTCCTTTAAAAAAATTATACCCTATATTTTTTAAACATAAACTTAAGAATGCTCTATATACAAGGATTTGAGTCACCACAATATTTTATTGTCACCTACTTACTGTACTCTCTATACTTGATAAGGCTTACCTGATGTCTTTTCAGTTATACTTGTTCGAAAGCTAAGAAAATTTCATTATAACATGAAAACGTTTTTGCAAATGAAAAGAAGATCTAAAGAAACAATAAAAAATTCACAGATCTGTGGTTTGTTCCTAAGTCTTGTAAACTTTCCATTACATTCAGTTCTTATTTTCCAAGAAACTATAAGTTACATCTCACATCACTGTACATTTATATTAGCAGTTTATAATCTGCTCTACCTAATGGTATTTAAACTTTGTCTGTAGCTGTTTTCTAAAGCAGAAATACACTAATAGTTGTTCTGATCACGTACTGTGGGATAGTAAAAGGGTGGGAATGAGAGGCTATACTATAAAATCTGAGAAAGAAATAGAAAATCATGTAAGAATCAAAATTTTGAGAAAGGATGATAGGTTTATATTTGTTAAGTTACTATGGTTTAGGATGAGCAGAACAATTGTAAACAAGTTAAAAGTGTGTTGTTCATAGGCAAGGGTTCATGGATTTGTGAATTACAAAATGATGAAATAATGTTTCCAGAATATTTTTGACTAAACATTTCTTGAAAGAGAATCATTATTTTTATTAAAGTTTTGAAATTTGACAAACAGGTGTGCATTTGGTACTTGAAAAATATTCAACTGTCTATAAAGGGTTAAACCATTTGAATTGATGGCATTATTAAGCAGTCACAAGTAGCGAATCAAGATCATTGAAACCAGCAACTTTAACATTACTGTTTTGAACTGTTCAGGTATTTACATGGGACACTAAATGCACAGATAGATACATCGTATCATTTAATTATACTTATGCCAAAATTCAATCTTTGCAAAGTTGTATATAGGCATATAATTATCATGCATAGCAAGATACTTGTTAGTATAGAGTAATGAATGAACATTTGATTTTCAGTTTTTTTGTTAACTTTAGTCCTAAGAAGGGTTTGAGATTTGATCTCTCCAGTTTTATAACCACAGCACAAGTAAGGCAGTTTTAACGGAAATGAAAACAGCTAGCTTCTGGAATGATCCTATTAGGCATATATTTATTATGGTGCCACACTATCCTGTAAAATTAGCCTAATTAATTAAAGCATCTGCACAGTAAGCAAAAGTGTGAGGTCAAATTCGCCTTTGTCATAATTCTTTTGCTGAAAAAACATTCTATACTCACAAGTTAAATCAGCTTTTATGTGATGCTAAAAGTGCATACAAGATCTAGCACACAAATAAAGGCAAAGACATTAATAGTGAATAATTCATAACTTTGACAATTATCAAAAATACAATATTTTCATTATAAATCAATTTCATTTTTTGTGAGCAGTGTAAGAAAGTTATTACAGTGACTCTCCACTTTCAAATTCCTATTGGCCAAAATGCAAGTTAATTTGCTAGGAAGGGAGTAGGTACTTTGACCATTGTGTTAGTTTTTACTACTGAAACAATTGTATGGTAAATGCATGTTGTGCATTATGATCATACCATATTTGGATTAATGGTGAAAATTTATATATTTATGTGCCTTCAAGTTTTTCTTCTGTTTTCTCTTATATCTGCATGTGACAAGCCATAAACAAGTGAGAAATTGTAATATTTTCATGTAAGGTACCTACTGTAGTGTTGCCGTAACACTGAATTACAGATCATGTGTAAATAAAGTGTATTTTTGTTGCAGTTTACATTACAGTAAAGTTAAATAAACTTTGTTCAAATCCTGTTAGTATTACATACATTGACTGTTTGCACATGAACAAAGTCAACATTTAATGTCAAATATAGTGTGACTTGGCCGCATAATCTCTCATGACTAATAGTGTTTAAATAAACCTTTTAAAACCTATTAATAGAATATCAGTTTTATCTGTCTACTCCAGCAGTTTTTAAGCACTCTAGTGTTATTTCCTTAACTACAAGTGTGTCTTCTGGTTTCATGTCAATAAGAAATAAACACCAAAGAAACATGGTGGTACATAGCATAATCTACCATACAGCTGTTTTCTGTTTTTCTCTCCCAGTAGTCAGCCTAAATCATAATATTCTGTCTTTAACATAATGTTTGTCTAAAGTTATCTCCTCTGGTATGTTTTTTTTTCTTTTACTTCATTACAATTTTTAATCCTTGTTTTTAATAAATAGTAAAATAAATTTAATTAGAAGTACTGTTTTCACCTTCCTTATTTACTAACCTACATCCACTGCAGGCACATGATGATTCCATCATATCCATACACATTTTAAAATTCTCAGATCCTTCAAAATCTGGTTTACTTCTCACGCTACATGCAAAATATATTTTTCCCAATTCTCAAGAAATGCCCTTCTAGTGAATCAGCGGTAAGTTTGAAGTTTTATAATGCCAAAAAATCGGGTTTTAATTACCCATGGTAGGAACAGCACAGATGGCCCATTGTGTAGCTTTGTGATTATTAATAAACGTAAAAACTATAGAAACCAAAAAAGAAAAGCTTGATCAAACCTTTTCTTGGTGTAGGAACTTTAGTCCAGTTTCAAGTAGTTGAGAAATATGTGGATCAACTTTTAAATTGGTAGCTGTAGTCTAAGACAGTTTAACTATGATAATATATTTTGTAAACATATTATCAATCTTGATATAAAAATTACTTTCAATCTGAGGTATATTCACAGAAGTTAACAGGAATAATGTGTCAAAAACCAGTCATCATTACGATGTTAAATTTTAACAAAAAAATTGATGTTTCTACCAATCCAGCTTCTGTTACACACTTAATTTAAACATCAACTTGACTGAAACTATAAAATCAAAGGAGAGTACTGCAACATCAGAAAACAATTAATATAAAGAACACAAACTCACTAAACATACAAACTAGTTTATAAATTTTTTAACATAAATATTACCAAATATTATGCTGTCTCATAATCACAAAAAATGAACCTTAAACAAAATGATGCAAGATTAATTGAAATTAGGGATTTTAGACTAATTTTGAAGAAGGTTGTAACCAACATGCAGTTAGTAACAGTAAAAAAAATATCTTTGTAAGTTACAAATTTTAAATATAGATCTGTGCATTCAAAACTGTGTGAGAACTGTCTTGAAATCTCCAATGAAATATCAGAAGTATGATTTGTGTACAAGATTTTTGAGAAGAGAGTAGAGAAGTCTTCATCAATACTGAAAAGCAGGCCAAGTTTATCAATTATATTCTAGAATGTATGATTCAAATACTTCTAAGAAAATAGGTTTTACTCTAATTTTTCAAAGAAATATTTATCCATTAGATCAATCTGGAAATTTTGTGTGTGCAATTTTATTCATCATGTCAATTGGGTAAATAAATATTTACTAACTTCGTAAAGAATATCATGGTATATTAATGAATAACATTTTATGAAATTTCTTCCAAAAAAAGAAGCAATTTTGGAGTGTTTTATTTTTAGAAAATCCCTATTCAAGTCACTGGAAAATTTGTTTGGTCCCTACAATATGAAATACAAGGTAATTTGCATGCATTTTATAAACTTAGTTTGAAAACATTTATATTTATCAAAAACAAAATGTGTCAAATAATTCAATAGATATGTTTAATTTATTGTTCAAGATATAACATGAAATTCTACACCATACAAATGTATAAAAAATGAAAATAACCAACTAATGGATCTGCTCGTTAAGAAATTGAGGTTTACTTTGAGAATAATGTAATTAAATGGATACTAACTCAACCAAAAGCTAATTTTTACATGTCAGATTTTGTACACTTTATTAAGAGTAAATTGACATGTCATTAATATTACTTTTCACAAAATATAACATAACGTTTTGGGACAACATGGGACCTCTTGGTCCATCTTGGCTGTTCCATTCTCTAAACTAAATTAAAATGATTAAAAACCTTAAAGCCAGCCCTTTTCATACTTATCAAGCTTTTTCTTAAACTCACTTAAATTTACTACTTCTACAACACCTGAAGGCAACCCATTACAAAGGCCAACCACCCTGTTAGAAAAATGAAACTGCCTTAGCTGAAGATGAGTCATACCTTGTCAAAATTTATATTGGTGGCCCCTAGTCCTACTATTCCCATTGTTAAATATAAAAAAGATGCATCAACACTATCAATTCCCTTTACAATCTTAAACACCTCAATCAGATGCCCCCTAACTTCTTTTTTCAAGTAAACCTTCTCTGAACCCTTTCCAACAATTCAATGTCTTTCCTAATGTAAGGAGCCCAAGACTGAACACAATATTCCAAATGTGGCCTAACCAGTGACATGTACAATGAAAGTATAAACTCTTTAGACTTTTATTCAGTATTTCAAATACAATATGTTAAATACATTTTTCTTATAATTCTGTTATAGAAAATACAAGATTTTTATAATTTGGTTTTAATGTTTCATTAAAGCATTGAAACAGTATTTAACCATGAAGAGGATGTTTTCCAAAATTTATTTTTATCTTTATTAATTTGGCTCAAATATATAAAATAAAATTTCAAACATGTTTACAAATACTAAATGCCACTTATAGTGAAATGGGTTATGAAAGAAAAATAGCTAAAAAAACACTACTATGGCAAACTCATTTGTTCTACATGTATGTAACAACATCTAAGAATTTCAATGAACTATTATGCAGTTCTTATTTCTTGCACCTCTTGTGATGTTATGAAAACCTGTTGTTTTTTTTGCATCATTGCAAAAGCTATGTCCATAACCAGAAAACCTCATAAGAAACATATTTTTAACAGTAGGTCAACTAATGAAATAGTTTTATTTAGTTTAAGCCTGAACTAATTACACTAGTTCATCAATTAAAAACAGAAAACCTGAATTACATTTAGTACAACTTTATAATGGAAATATATTTACATTTCCACTATATATATATCTTTGAGCAATTTCCACTTCAAAGAAGCAAAATATAATCAGTGTTTTCTTAAGTATGTACATGGTAAAAACATGTATTACGTGAAAACATTTCTAAATTGCTTTATTGAAGAGGAAATTATTCAAAGTTACATAATATGTAGATATATGTAAATATGCATATGAAGCTCTACTAGAGGGCTATTAATGGTATAATTCAAAAAAGCTGACTCGAAATATACAATTTTTCTCCAGTAGTTGTTTTGATAGCTTAAGAAATATGAAGCTATTAGTTTATACACTTCCTAAGTGGGACCTCATGATGTAAGTTGACTTCTTATTTTGTTTGCTTGGCAAATCAGTCTTTATATGAATAGATGCAAGGCCATGTTCTTAAAATATCAGGGCAGATGAATCTAATTTATAAACCCCGTGTAAAGGTTTAAATATGCTGACTCTAGCAAAAATGAACCATGTCTCTACATTAGGATCATCATCTGAACATAAAACCTCACATTAAAGGATAAGAACAACATTTTATTACTAGCACAAACATAATGACAATAGATGACAGGTGATACATATACCCTATATATCCTTTTTACAGACTATTGAAATGGGAATATTAAATTAATCTTTTTTTTTTAAATTAAGAAAATACAAAAATATGAACTACACATTTTTTTTTGAAAGTGAAACATTAAAAATAATTTTTTTTTTACAAATTCTCATTTTCTATGGTCTGCAATTATCTTCTGTTTGTGCTGATTATTACGAGCACAATGCGTAAAATAAAGTTATTAGTATTTGCAAGCTGGATGGCACTACGTAACAAATCCAATCAAACAGCCAGTCAAAAAACCCCAAGATGCAAGAGAACTGTTAATCAAGGGAATTATATTCACCCAGCAGCACTTGCTATTTACACAACTATTCTTAACACGTTCGCTGCCACCAGTAGTATTACTAATTCCTACCCTAGTGCTAACCACACACTTTTTTTTTACTTAACCCAGGTGTCTAATATTTATATGGGTAACTATACTATGTTTAGCTCATTAAAACTACTTATAATATATGACCCCCTGGTGTGTCACGAGGTCCATAACTAAAAGTCAGTTGTGATTCACTGATGGGGTTCCTGGCAGCAAATGTGTTAACTACATACACTTGACTACGACTGTTATAACAACAAAGATAAGAGCTGTATGTTCATTGGCACGTCATCATTTAAACCTTTGGCCTTCTGTTCAGCAACTCAGTCTAAATAAATAAACAGCCAATAATGTTTTTAAATTTACTGCTGTTCTCCGTTATTTTAATGCTTATATCAGTTTGGTTGAAATTGCATGAAAAGTTTATACAGATTACCATAATTCCAATGTACCCACTAAAAACACCTGCAAGACAAATAATGAACTTTTGCACATAGGGACAATAATTAACATTAATGAAAAATGGGATTGTGGAGTTCAAAGGATTTCACGCTGAATGCAATATTCATTACTATTTGTATAAAAAAAAAAGTGTATTTTGGTGCCAACATAAGAATTTTTTTTATTATTCAATCAATTTATTATGATTTAGTTATTCCTATATCAGAAGGAATACTAAATTAGAAAAAAAAAATAAAGTTGGGACAACAACTGTTCCAATTTAAAGTTGGATGGGATGTGTGATAGATAACCACAATATGGAGCTGGCTCAATTTTAACAAAATTATCGGTCACTTTATCTGCATAAGTTTATTATTTTAATCATAAGAACAGCAATAAATGAATAATATAACACTTATAACTTTATTAAATCTATTATTTTCAGGTAAGAAGCAAATACAGATATTCTATTGTATCTTAGTTATTTGGAGTACTACATTATTGGTATTTCTTTTTCACAAAAGTCATTATATCCTGATACGGAAATCTAAGTATAACTAATAATCACTCTATATGGTACTCTTTATAAATGTAAAACAAGAATTTTCCTTAATAAAACAGTCATATTTTTACATGTTTTACCTGTATGTGTGCAGGCAAAAATAAAAAATTTGGTAAAACATACTTTCCAAAATTTTAACTTATTTCTTCTTCCTCAAAAAACTAGTTTTATTCCAATTATATATAGCTGATAAAACTAAACTCTTTCACAAGACACAGTTTATAAGAATAAACTATTAGGTTTGCTGTGCATTTTTATTTTCAATATTTAAATTTGCAGTACATTTTTAAAAATCACCCATTCCCTCGGGTACCAAAATGGCTCAGATTTAACATTTCTGTTCTAAAAAACTAGTTCTTTGACAAATCAGGTCAAAGATTCTCATTTCTGCTGATAGTCTTAATTATGCACCTATTAGTTTTTCATTGAATTAAAATACCAAATTAAGTACTTTTTCTAGCTGTGATATTTTCTCATATTTCCATCATTTTACTAACATTATCAATCATTTTTAAGTTCCTCTAGGCACAGACCACATTTACAAACTCACTATTATTATTATGAAGTAATAACCAATGAAACTGTGTTACATAATCTCAAATGCATAATTTATTCTGCTACAATCACCTAATAACTTATTACATTACTGAAGTGACAAGTACCTTTATTAATCAGCACCTACTTCAATTTTCCACTAAAAACAATATATATGCAGGTGTGTGTTTAGGCCCTGTAATAAAAGGTCCATCTACGGTGTATTTTTAATCCTGCAAATTAACTATCTTCTGTAAAAAAAAACCTCTTTTAGCACTCATTAGCAGAATGATTAAATTTTATGAATTTAAGTTTTGATTAAGTTAAAATCTCCTGCTTTGACTAGTTTTAGTGAGTTGATAAAATTTCAGTTTTTTTAATTAATTGGTTAATTATTTTTATGTTGTATTATGGAGAGGTACATATAAGGAGAAGCCTTGGAAAAATAAAATTATTCCATTAATTCTGATATTTTTTCTATGTAGGAATAACAAAATTCAATTTAAAATTAAAGTTGAGCCCAGCTGCAGTAGTTGAGAGACTACTGCCAGGAAATACATTTTTTTATGTATGTTTTAACGTCACCCAGTATACATAATTAATACACATTTGAAACTAAGACTTTAATGCTCTTAGTATTTAAGAATTCCTTCTTTGTAAATAAAAATGACACTGGAAAGTAATGGTAATGCTTGTACATTTTTACTCCAAGAATATTGTGAAAATTGATGTACATTTCAAAAATTTAATGACTGCAGGATAATGTCAAAATAAACATTATTAACTTTATTTTCAGTTATGTGTATAATCTCTTTATATGTACAAAAGAAATAGAAAGAAAACTTATGAAGAACAGTTTTACCTTTACCCTTTGCAGTGCAAACACACATCTGAAATAATTTTTGATCTATACATATGAAATTTACTAAACAAAATGATTAACCTTTGTATGGCAAAGTTGATGATGATAATAAAAATTATAAAACTATAACTTCTACTTGCATGTTTTACCATAATTAATATTGGAAATATTTATAAATGTATATTCAATATTCCAAGAAATGAAAGATTAGACACCACTGCACATATATAGTGCTTTTTGAAAATTATTTAAGAAGAATAGTTGATACAATAGTTCAGTTAGAATGCTATTTGGTCAAAGTTTTGCCCAACACTGTTATCCATTTTCTTTATTGATTAGCATTTTCACAAGCATCAATCCAATCACTGTAAACATCAATTGGTTCAGATAAATCTGTGCAAAAGTCTAAGGTTAACAAAAATAATTATAAATCAAAACTGAATAAAGCTTCTGAACAAATTAAATTGAACAGTAAAAACATGGATCCAAAATTCAAACTAATCTCTTGCCAAAGTCCAAAAATTGAATAAAAAAATATTAATCATTCATATCTATATGATATTGTTTATAAGTTATTAAAACTTTGCATTCTAAGTACATTTTTGTGCAGGGCTGAATGCAGACCTTTCCATCTGGGTGGTGGTGGTGGGGAATGAAATAAAATTAAACTTTGACAAAATAGAAAATACTGTACTTCATGGGGGAGTTGCAAATGGGGAAACCCCCAAATTTAACAATGATTTTCGTGGAAGGAAATCTGGTGATAAAGTAAAATAGCTTTGTTGAAGATTGAATCAAAAGATATGACCCCTATAACCTGAAAAGATTTCCAAGATTCGTAACCAGTTCTGGTAGCTCTGTTAACGGTACTTTATTGATAAAATTGTAAAGGGACGAAAATGAGCTTATTAGCCCATCAAGGATGTCCCTTCTAGCTCCTAACTATAACCACCCCTTACTAATCATGTATTTATCCAAATTTTCTGCCTCCACCACCCCTGTAGGTAGCTCATTCCAAAAGCTAACCACCCTGTTTGTAAAGTAATACTGTCTAAACTGCAAATGACTCCTACACTGCCAAAATTTGACTAACTAACAAATTTTGTGTTGTAGCAGTCTTGCTAGTAAAAAATAATAAGCACAAGAAAAACATTCCTATTACATATTTCATAAGGAAGTTTTACAGATTCGTACTGTTGAGTGTCAATACGTCTTTGATGCAGGCATTTCAGTCATTTATACTTCAAGATTCTGAGCAACTATAACTGTTTCACTTACTGGTGCCATGCCAGTTTGGCAATCCACATATCAACTGCATGGTATACCCAGGCTAAGTATCATGAAATGGAAATAGTGAGACTGTTGCAACAACAAGTTTGATTCGTTACCAAGGCAATTAGAACGTGGGCCAGTAAGCTAGACTCGTATCATCCAGCTTCTGCAGTGCAGTTTTGCTGGTACTGTGGTTAGAAATAGCATGCCCAAGTTGTTGCTCATTGAAGGTAAGAATAAAAAAAATAAATCATGTAAACTGAATATTCCTTAAAATTTTTCCATGTTTAACACAAATGTTAAGCCTATTTGGCTTCAAATGCTTCACCAGATTTCAGTGATTAAAGCATAATTTTTAATTACAAAATACTTTAGAATATGGTGGCCATCAGCAGTGGGGGAATTTACTTTACTGATCCAGGTGCTTAAGGCCTACATACAATAGCTTCCATCCAAATCAGTTTTCGTGAAAAAGGGAAACAAAAACAGTTATACATAATCAAGATGAGTTTTGATATTTGTCACTGAAGATTTATACATCTAAGTAGGATATATATATACATATTTATGAACATTTAATACATGAAACAAGTATATAGCAGTCCCAAATTTGCTAGTGCTCTCAAAAGTTAAGGTTGAGGCCTGCGGTGTAGGCCTTAAATATTAGGACTTTGATATATTATAAATGTAATGTGTGGTTTTTTTTCAATCAGTACAAGAGTAGTCTTTAGTGACAGAAGCAGTTCTCATGTGAAGAAAAAAATTATTTAATTTCCCCCATTTCAATCTCATTTACGATTATGTTTACAGTCTTATTTGGACAGGAATATTTACTAGAAAAACTTTTACGCATATTTACTTTAGGGCCACTTTGAACATTTAGAAATGAGTTTTACACTTTTAAACAAACTTTGGTTCCAACGTGTAACAGTGGCTATAGCAGTAGATGTTACTATATAACTCTTACAAGGTCCAAAAACAAAGGATACAATTTATTGATGTTTGGAAGTCTTCCATACAAACTCTGCATGTTATTTGTCCAGTATTCCTTTGTCTATCCCTACAAGCACACAAAGGTTATTCTGGTATTTTGTTCAAGAACAGACTAATTCATTTCAATAATAGAAAATTTGTTTAGGTAAGACAAATGTTACACAAAAATTAATAAATAATCAAGTCTAAATATAATTAATTAACTAAACAAGTAATTTGTTTTCCTTATTAGCCAACTTTGGTTCCAATGAGTATTTTACTTTAGAAATGTACATTTAACCTAATAAACATAATGCTTAAAGAACTAGTTTTACCACTTTCATTTTCAAAGTAACATGATGTATTGTTATATATAATTGTTTACAGTATAATGTATTCATAGCATTAATTTTGGTTCTGCTTTCCTGTTTTGAAAAATTATAAATTTTACATAATACACAGAACAAAACTCTTCTTTATTTCAGAGCTATACAGACTAATTATTGTTTGTATGTTACACTTAACAAGAATAAAGCACAACAATCATGAGAAACATCTTTTGATCTTTGAAAAAGATGTTGATGGGAAAGGTAATGAAAAATATAGCAAAAAAAAATGTATTTTAGTGCTTGATAATGCTATTTTGTGCATGTAGTTAGTTGGGTAAAATCATATTAGTGAAATATTTTATTTTTGAGACCTAATCTACTTCGTATATCTCTTTTTTTTCTTTCGCTTGTATTTTAAGCATTTCTTTATAGTTTCAGATCAAACTTACATGTGCCTATAAGTTTTAAAATGTTGTTGGAAGAATCCAGAAATAGAATTCAAAAGTAGTTACATTAAAACAAGCATTCAATGTGATTCATAATAATCTCAAAGAAGTGCATTGCTGCATTTAATATACTGTAGACTTGATTAGTTGTAGGCAAAGTGCAATTCAATATGTACTTGAAACTTCACAATTCCTAAGGGGTAGAATGAATGGTTACCAATTCTTTACCAAAAATAGTTTTTCTATCAACACTAACTTTTAACCCTATTGCAACAACGCCATTTTTAAACCCTTTCTGTGCATGTCACTGACTTACATTCAAGATTTAATTAAACCACCTTAATATGAATGTATTTTAATGAAATTACTATTATCAAGTACATTATAACCTAGTTTTATATTATCTAAGTTTTATTTCTTTATTTTAAAAAGAAAAATCTAAAACAGCAATTAAAACTGCAGTTTTTGTTGTCCTGTGATCTGCTTACAGTTACATGAGCTATTTCACAAGATACTGTAAAAAAAATAATATAGACTGTTGGCATAGAAGATGAAATTAAAGTTCCACCTGTCTTTCATTAGCATCTTGAAAACTTCCAAGAATTTCATGATGGGGGTATGACATTCTAAAATTTCTAAGTTTTAGGTCAGCCACGCCCACTTGCAAAGTCAAAGCTGTGTTGCCAAATGACAGTTTGAAGTTGAATGGCATGCTTATAACCAATAGAAAGAGCAATTTCCCACTATTCAGTTATGGCCTGAAGAAACCTCTACCAGTGTATGGATCTATTGTTTGAGATAGAAAAGAAGCTTAGTCCATTGTTTTCTTGAGGAGTACATAGTGCTTGGCAAGTGTTTCTTGTCTTATATGCTAAACAATTAGATTGCATTTAGGTTTTATGCTTATATCTTAATTAGTTGTGTATTATTTGTGTTTTAAAATGCATATTTGAAAGGTTTATGATTTGTATACATTTAACTTCATGTAGTTTGACTTGTGGAAATGTCTAAGCCAGATGGCATCATCGTATATCTGAGCTTTACTGAAAGAATTTGTGCACGACCTTTACCCTATAATAACAATAGAACAACATGGGGACAGACTGGCATACCTGCATCAAGAATAAAAGACAAAGAACTAGAAAGGAAAATTAAAAATAAACTACAAGTGAAAAAAATAGACATGAAATTACACGTATGACAAAAAGAAATTTCAGAAATATTCTACAAAAATTTAAAAGGTATATACATATTTCCATTCTTAATTTTAATCACTTCATTGCAGTGTATGTTGACGATAATAACAAGAGTTGGTGATATAGTAGAGAAAATATAAATTAAAGTATAAACATTTACCTTAAAACACTTTTGATATTCACTTAGGAGGCTCTAGAGATTATGCAAATGAAATATGAAAACTATAATATAAGAAATAGTATTTTTATGCACAAAATGAAAATCACATTGCATGTGAACTATTCAGAGTCAGAATGCAAATAAGTGCATTGAATAATGAAGCTTTTATTATAAATAGTAGTAAAAAACAAAATTAAATATCTTATTTTTCAAAACTACATACTTATAGGTCCTTTCATCTCAAATTTAAAAGAATTTCATCCAATAGTTTGATTTTTGTAAAGAATTTTCACAAGAGTTGCATACTTGCAATGTAAGTAGTGTGTAGTCAAAGGGTTTAGACCTTCACCCACTGAATTCATAAGATGTAAGGATATGAACAGTTCACACAGTTACAATTTACCCCTATGGGCTTAGTGAGGGAAGCTCATGTCTCTTAAGGTTTCTAATTTTCAAACAATCCTCATTTTCTTTAATTGATTACCCATGGATCCAAGAGTAATAGAAGAAAACACAAAAAAAAAACATGTTAAAACACAAGTGAATTTACTAAAAGACCTCCTAAAAGTTCACCAAACTAAAGATCTATAGATTTTTACACTATCTCACAAAGGTTATCAGTTAAAAACTTAAGTACGGGTGTCAATACATTTGATAAGCAATACAAACTAGCTGTTTCGTGTTGTTAGTTAAACAACAACAACTGCTAATTAACATAAAGTTTACCTTATTAAAAGAAGCGTAGAACTAGCTAAATTAGACTCTATATTTATAGTTTTACCTAACACTTTCAAAGTTAAACACTTAACTACAGGCTATACTTGCAAGAGAACCATTAGCAGCGTACTTTTTAATTATAATAAACTGTTAGATAACAGAGGAGTTTCAAAATATTTTATCCTTTTCATTGCAGATGTAAATAATCGCCTTACATTTAATTTCATATTGACCATGTACTAACCAGTGACTCTGACATAGTAGCTGGCGATTGGTGGCTCTGCACTAAAGTTTAATGGAATTTCACAACAAACATAATTAGTAAATTACTAATTAAAATTTTACATAACTCGTGTAAAAAGGAAAACTCAAAAATTAACCTATTTAAAGAAAGGGTGAAGATAATCTTTAAATGCATAATATACTAAAATAAAAAATCATATGATGGATAGACTAAACTCAGTTTGGTGGATTTTTTTTCATTATATTAACTTGGTTAGTTTAATTAGAGCATCATAATCACATTACTTACTGTACAATTTTCTTACTAGTTTAATCTATTTTTACTCAAGGCACAGCGGCTCATAGAATAGCTCTGAGTTTTTTTCAAGTACAAAACTTTAGCTCATAGCTTCATCTCTTGAAAGATTTGAGATCTAATTACAGCTGCTGCTATTGAGGATTCCCTCATGATTTATTTATTTGTTTGTTCTATCTGTATTGTCCTGCTATTCGACAATAATTAATCACCAAAATGTCATAATAAATAATCTCAGATGTTATGCTACTCTATAAACAGAGCTTGGACACCACTCACTAAATATTGTTAAGAATGATTATATAGTTTTTGCATATACTAGTGTTATGCTTTCCAAGGGAATCAGTGATTATGCATAAAGCAAACAACTAGTTCTTAGGTATGTTGTAAATTCTTTCTTTAATTAATGAGTTTCCTTAAGGATTGGTTAAGATTGTTTAAAATATATATATTTATCTTTCACTTTCTATTATGAAGATTATTTGTAATTGCAGATGCCCATTTAAAAAACTTTACAGTAAATTTCCTAAAAATAGTGATGAATAAATAAAACATGTGCAGTCAACCCAATGCCTTGGATCATAGCATATATGCAATATGATTATCTAATGGGCTGTTTACAAACGTCTTTTATCATTCCATGTGTTATTTCATTAAGGAAAATTGTATTGTGTTTGTATTTAAGCAAAGAAGACTGACAGCAATTCATTGGTGGGAAAAAATGTTTGGGTTTCAATGCAATGGGCGTATCCAGCCCAACTCATGTTTGCTTAGTAGTTGCAGGAATTTTTTTCTACTTGATTTTACTGAGTGCAAGAAAAGACCACTACCAAACTGTTTCACTTCCATAAGAAGTGTCAAAAGGGAGATATTCAATTCAAATCAATTTATTTGACATGGTACAATAAAATCACGCATGTATAAAATATAAACATGAAAAAAAAAACAACAAAAAAACACACACACACACACACATATATATATATATATATATGTGTGTGTGTGTGTGTGTGTGAACAAACAACAACAACGTTCTCTATATATTTTTTCGTTCTATGCTCCTATCATTGTAAGTATTTCTAATC